GGGTTTAAAAAAAGTTGAATAATATTGGGAGTAGTATTCCTAAAAATCTGAGTTTTTGGGTATTTTACTGTTTAATTTTTTTGGGAATACTAAAAGTAGTATTCCCAAAACTGAAACAAACGCAGACATAATTTCTTCTATTTGGTTCATGTCAACTTCTGTCTGCTTGTATGTTTCCTTTTAAGCTTTGCTCCACCCTGATACAAGGTAATTATTAGTCTGTTGTTTGTGTTGCAGATCTGAGGATGAGGAGCATAAATCAGAACCTACAAAGGTTGATTCTCAAGAAAATGGGGTTGCCACCTCTTTAGAAGAGGTTTCTCGGAATCACTCCAATGGTAGACCTGAGATCTTGAGAGAAGGCTCTGAAGCTCCAAAAGAGAAATTTTTACCTGAGGGTTCACAAGGTAGCTTAGAAAATGGAAAAAATGTGAGTAATGGTAATGTTGACTTCAATGAGCATGGAGGAGAAACAACTATGGAGAAGGCACTAGAAAATCAAGTGCAACTGATTGGAAAATATGAAGAAATGGAAAAGGCTCAAAGAGAATGGGAAAATATGAAGAAACAGATGCTATTAAATAGGGAAATGGAGGGCGTCCATCTAAGACGACGCCCGTCTATTACTTTTTTTTTTTTTCAATTTAAATAATGAAATATGGACGTTCGTCCATTCAGTAGAGACGCTCATTCATAATATATGAATGGAAGTCCATGATTTTTGTTTTCAAATTTTTTAATTTAAATTATAAACGAGCGTCCATTATATGGACTCCAATATAATGGACGCTCGTTTATAATTTAAATTAAAAAATTTGAAAACAAAAATCATAGACTTCCGTTCATATGTTATGGACGAGAGTCCATTTAAAATGAACGGTCGTCCAATAACAATTGACGGTCGTCCATATTGGATGGATGACGTTTATTCGCGAAATATTTGTTAACAATGCGTTGCTCATCTGATTCAGTGGACACGTTGTTTGGTATAAAACGTTGATGTCCGTAGCATTTTTCTTTAAACAAACGCACCCAAAAGTATTTGATAAACAACTTTTAAAACTAATTAAGTTTAAAATTGATTATTCATAGTCCGTTTTATAAAATCAGCTTTTAAAATCATTTTATTTTCAAAGCTGATTTTGTATGTGTATATGATAAATATACCCATATAATTCCTTGAATTATAAAGTTAACTTAAATAAACATTTGATTTATTAAATAAATAATTTAATAATTTATCTATAAATAAATAAAAATTGAAATACCGGTGCCACCACCAATGGTAGTCAACCACCAGTCAACAATAACCAACAAGGGCACGTTGGTGCCACATTCGATCCTATCAAGATTGGAATCTTTCGATATGACGGAATTCGATTAAATAACCGGATTCCAACGTCTCTTTTGGCCACAGAAGGCGATCGAATATTCCTTTGCCTTCTACGGCCAAAATAGACATTAGAATCTAGCGATATAAAGAGGATGGCACAAATATATCATCTTTGATTAGAGGTGGGCAGGGACCAGTCGCTCATGGGTTTAGGACCGATCCCAGGCCTGTGAGAAAAATGAGGACCCAGACCGATCCTAAGGATCGGTCTATGGGCCCAGGATCGGTCCTAGGGGCCTGGACAATTTTTTTCCTCTGATCTTTTTTTATATTTTGGGGGCGAAACAAAATTTTGTAGGGGGTTTTTAGTATTTTTCAGGGGTAGATTAGTAAGTTTCTAAAAAAATAATTAATTTAAAAAAAATAATAAATTAATATTTAATTTTTAACATAAATTCACGTTTCACACATTCACGCTTCACAAATAAACAATTAAATAATTTTTTTAATTAAATTATTCATTTTCATCGTCAACAATATTTACATCATTCAAATCTCTATTCCTAAAGAGTTCGAGTAGTTCGAGATCTTCAAGGTGCTATTGTAGTCTTCTTTCTGCATGAGTCCAATCCCGTAAACACGTTATCACTTCAATCATCTCATCGGTTAAAGAATATCTTCTATCTTCAACAATCCGACCACTCGTTGAGAATGTTGACTCGGATGCAATTGTAAAAATCGGCACAGATAAAATGTCACGTGCCATTTGGGCTACAATGGAGAATCGACTTTCATGTTGGTTCCACCACTGAAGAATATCTATATCATGTTGCTCCTTCATCGTCATAAAGGACATGTCCACTTGTAGGTATCGATTCAGCTCATTTGGTCCATGTATGTATGAGCTGGAGTTGCTACTTTCCCCACGTTCCACATACGTCCACTTGCTTGATCCTTGACGGAGGGCTGCATTAAGGTTCGGATCCTCTCTCCTGAACGTTCCACTTCCATTGTACATGTTCTCATATAAAGAAAAAAGACTATACAATTTTTGTTTAAAGTCAGTCAAATAAGACGTATAATCATATCCTAAATGCTGGCCTATCTCAGTAATTATACAGTTAACTACGTGTAATTTAAACCTAGGATTTAGAACAAGGCTTAATCCATATAAGAATGGAATATCTAACCAATATCTCTTATATTTTTCTTTCATCTTTAAAACAATTTCACTTAAAATGTTATTATATCTATATTGAGCAAAAGTTTTAGCAATTTGAAGTAAAATATCTGACACTAAATTAGTAGTTGGATAATAAATATCACTTAATGTATTAGTAGCATCATAAAAATTTTGAAGAAATGAATAAAAAAGTTCACAAACCACCAATCATCATAGCTGACAACTTCCTCTAGACGGTTCTTCTGGTTGAAGAAATCTGTATTGGCAAAGCTTTTTCCAACATCAAGTAGGTGGAGTTCCAACGGATATGCATGTCTGCACATAAATTCAAAGGTTGAATTGGTGGGTCCTCTTGCTTACAATATTTGACGTACTCTTGCCATCTTTTATTGCTACCGCCGACGATAAATCCGATAGCTCTGCGTACCCTCTCCATCTTCGAATGTATAACATCTAAACCTGCTTTAATTATCAAATTGATGATATGGCAAGCACATCTCTGGTGAAAAAATTTGCCTTCACCACACGGATCCAATCTCTTTTCAAATAAGAGATTGTCGCGGTGTTAGCAGTTGCATTATCAAGCGTTAGCGCTACAACTCTATCAGTTAATAAATATTCTTGCGAAACTTCAAGAATTGTAAAATAAATAGTTTCAGCACTATGTTTTTCATATAATGGTTTAAAACTTATTAATTTTTGTTGTAAACCCCAATTATGATCTTAGAAATGTTATGTGACAGTTAAAAAATCGGTTTTTGATCTACAAGCCCATATGTCTGATGTAAGTGCAATAGATATATTCCTAAAATTTTGAAATTCGTTTTTAAGTTTATTTTTTATTTTGTTATAAAGTTTTAGTATATCTCTTCTACTTGTACTTTTACTAACAGGGGTATATGCTGGATAAAATACAGTTTTAACCATATGAATAAAAAAAAGATTTTCAGATAAACAAATAGGAGAGTTCGTAGCAACTATATATCTTGCTATTTCCTCTTGTGCAACATGTGTATTGTATTACCATATTGAGATAGTTGAGAATTGTGGATTAAAATTAAGTTGAGTTTGAATTTGTCTACCTGATCCGCTTGAAGATGCATCGGGCAACTACATTATTTGGGGGTGCTTTTTCTCCACGTGTTGTCGCATCATCGAAGTCCCCTGCTCAGTGCCAATAATGGTTCCCATAAATTACATATCCCACATGATTCTTTCCCCTCCCCATTTGTCTTTGGCCGTTTTGATTTGGTGAAGTATCGTCATACATCGAACACGATCCTTTTTGACAGTCGAGGGGGTTGGGCTATGCCCTAGCTTGCATGTGTTTGGCTACACCTCGTCCTCACCGAATGTGATTATGGAATTACAGCTGCTTCCTCTGGAGGAAATGGTGAAAATGGATTGAAGTCTTTCATTTCTTCGGTGAATGGAATGTAAAACTCATTTGGGGAAGTCATTATAAATTTATGATAAAATAATAAATAATTAAAATGAAAAGAAATTAAATGATAACATGAAATTATGATGATATTAAAAAATAGAAAAAAATTGAATAATATAAAATTATAAATAAATAATATGGATAAATTATAAATATAAATATAAATATAAATTGAATGAGAAATTGATTGGAGATTTGGAGTAGAGAGATTGAGAGAATGAGAAATTAATTGGTGTGAAAAAAGTGAAAAATTTTTGGGATATTTATAGTGTAGGTTTTTTTTTTAGTGGGGGGGAGCGGAGGAAGGAAAAAAAAAAAAAAAAGGTTCCAATGGTTAAAAAGAATATATATAACCGTTTGGCTGCTACATTTTTTTCTTTTTTTTTTTTTATAAATTTTCATTTTAACCTTCATAATTTATGTTTATTTTAAAATTGATATGAATTTTATGTAATAGTGTAGAAAACTACATTGAAAAAATCCAAAAAAATTTGACCCCAAGCTCGGGCCTTGGAGGAGGGCCCAATGGAGGGCCCAAACCCTCCTCCTTAGGCCTGGTCTTATTTTGAGAGTAGACCTTTTAAGACTAATCCTCTCAAGAATCGGTCTTAGGACCGACTTTTGGGGCTGGGCTTTTGGGCCAAGTCCCAAATGCCCACTTCTATCTTTGATCATTGGTCAATTGTTGTTGACCAATCGTTGATCAGCATCGACTGGTCAACAAATTTTTTATTGTTTTGTTGAATTTATAATATTTATTAAATGCTTATAAATAATAAAATACAAAATCAGAATAATGAATATATTTTAAAAAATAAAAATTTCTTTTTAATCATTTTATACATGACAATAATTTCAAAATTAATTCACCAAATACATAATCATAGATTTTGAAAATCAAAATAGCATTTATTTACCAACACTTTCCAAATTATTTTGAAAGTTGGGGAAAAATTGATTAAATTATAAATGTTTATCATCCATTCATATCATCAAATTGAATTTAAATAAATTTAATTTGGATCCAAACAAAACCAATATAAAAATTAAGAACAATCTTATTAAATTAAATTACCAACATTATTCCAAATGTACTTCTCCAAACAAACGCAAAATATTAGGACAGTCCCTTATAGTTCAACATCTTTACAATAACAACCCTAAACAAAAATTAAAGAACATCTTCATGACATCAAACCTGAGCCTTCAATGCCTTCTTCAACTCCTCGTTCACATCTCCCTCCATCGCCGCCGATCTTTTCTCGTTACTCCGGCGACCCGAATTCAAATCCCGGGTCGGATTCTGGTTCTTGTTTACGATTTCTTGTCGAAGATCTTCGACAGCTTTCTTTAAGAAACCATTCTCGGTTTGCAAAATCTCCAACTGTCGTTTAACGTTAAAACACAGCTCGGACATATTAGCGTTACCCGCCAGGCCCAGTTCCTGGCCCATTAGCAGTTGTTTTTTGTTATCTTTGTTTTTTTCTTTCGAATCTGCGCCGTCCACGTGTTCAATCCCGATCTTGTTCATAACCAGAAACGGAATCCTCTTAAAATTGATCCCAGCCGTTGGTTCGGCACTCGTATCCGCAGGAACCCTAACTCCCCATCGGATGTTCACGACGGCACGTGACTTCACCGGCAAAGCAGTCCTCGCCGCCATCTCGACACCGGATAAAATCCCGGCGAAATCAGCCGCGGATTTCGACGGCGAAAGGGTGAGCTTCTTCAACATCGGAGACTCCACGACCTCAATCGACGAATCATCCTCCCCTGAAACGGCGCCGTTCTGCGGCTTGAACACAGACGACTGAGACTTCTTAATCGAGAAGTCACCGAACTGCGGCTTGAAGTGAAGCATGAAGCTAGGGTTTCCACGGCCGAGCAAATTGAACTCGGCGCTCATCAACATAGAGCTCGAGATCGGCGAACCGAATGGTCCAGTTCCGGTTTTAACCACCAACGAGAAGGGGTTCCACGTGTCGTTAGGACGGTAAGCAATCTTGACGGACGGTCCAGATTCGAAGAAAGTGGAGAGATTGAGAGTGAGCTCCTTGGACTCGCCGGCGATGATGCCGGATTGAAACGGCAAGCCCAAGATTGAGAGAGGGACTTTGGCTCGCAGAAGGGGCTTCTGGTCTTCGCGAAATTTCAGAGAGGCTTTCATGTTGAGGAAATTTATGAAATTTTGATGGGGAAGATGAAGAAGGGGGAATTTCTTATATGGGGTTTTGCGGGATTTTGAAAATGGAGAAGGTGAAGAAGTGAAGCGGAGATTCCGCCATTTTTTGGATTGATTTTGGAGGCGTCGGGGGTTTCAGTTTTCGGTCAGTATGTGTCTTGATTGGGGATGCGATTGATATGACTTAACAGCCCGTGGGGGTGTGATTGTAATATTTAAAATTTTGAGTTTTCTAAATTTTCTCAAAATTTTATTTATTAAATGGGAGTATTTTTTTTAATAACGCAACTTTGTAATATAAAGCTTTGTATAATTGTATTTAACAGCCAATATGGGCCGTTTGTTTAATTATTTTTCTCTATCCTATTAATACTAGAGTAATACTACAGTCACCGACGGTAGTGCACCGAATGACGTAACAAAATCCTGACCGTTGATTAATATTAAGTTAAAATTAATTAACGGTTAGGATTTTACTACGTCATTCGGTGCACAAATTTGGTGCACTATCGTCGGTGGTTATATTATTTTCCTTAATACTATTTTCAAAATACACGTTTGTTTTCCTATTCTGAAAATACTAATATATTTTATTCAATTTGTAAACCTCTTAAGTTTAGTAATTTAACTAAATACCCCCTAACAAAGTTTAAAAATTGATAAAAACACCCTCACCCACCCACATTTACCAGATTCTGACCGCCACCGTCGGAAGGTGGTTAAAATCTGGTATAATGACGTACTATCGGTTGGATCTGGCTGGTAGTGCACCGATATATCATTTACGTACCAAATCTATTATGGATCTGGCCGGAAAAAGCCAGATCTATGGCCAAAGATCTGGCTGTTGACGGTCAGATCTTTGATCGTAGCTGGTCTTCAATGATGGCCAAGACATGGCCGTCGTTGACCATCAACCAATGCCATATTTTTTGCCGTCGTTGACTACCAAACATGGCCAGATCTGGCCTTTTCTAACCAGATCCACAATGGATTTGGCTGAAAAAGGTCATCTCGATACACAACTGGCCATATCCAATCAGTCGTGTATCATAAAGCTAAATTCCGGTTATGGTGGTCGGAATCTAGCAACTATATGTGGTGGGGGTATTTTTATTATTTTACAAAAATTTTATATATTGGGGTATTAAGTAAATTAGCAAATCTATGAGGTTTTTTGTTAATTTTTAAATTCTACCTTGTAATAATCACTCAACTGTACCTACCAATAATATTTAAAAAATACTACTCAAAATAATAAAATAAATACATTCATGAGATTTTTGAGATTATAATGTTAATTATAGTAATTTTTTTTATTTCAAAGTTTAAAAGACTTTATTAGAGTTGATATTACTATTTTCAGTTAATTAGTAATTTTTTTTTATGTAATTAGGTATAATACTTGTATAAATTTATGAAATCATGTTGACTTGGGATTATTTATATTTCATAAAATAAGGTTGGTTGAGCCTGGGTTTAAATGTAACTTTTGGGAAAATAAAGGGTAGAGTTTGAAAGAATGGACGAGCTGGTGAAAGGTGGCGAAATAAGAGCCATTTAAATAATTTCTGAAATTTGAAATTTAAAAAAGTTTGGAAATTTTATTGCTGACTCATCACTGGCGCGCTTGCTTTTTTGTCTCCACGTCATGCACAGTGCAGTTGGTTTGTTAGATTTCACTGTTTTGCTAGCTTCTCTTGACTTATTTGAGTCAAGTTCAGAATACACGTGTCATTAAAAGGAAATAATTTTTCCATAACGAATAGGCATGACAATGGGGCGGGGTAGGGCGAGTATCTCATTCACTGTATCCATCCCCACCCTCAAAATCACTCTCCACCCTTGCCCCATCCCCATTACGAAGATGACAAGAATTTCCTTTCCCTACCCTAAAGGAGAATGTTAGAGGTTTGTCTCTGTCCTATTATTTTATATAAACATAAATTAATTTGAGCATTATCAAACACAATAGTTAATTCTCGTTCACGTGATAAACACTTAAATTAATCGTTTAAACATAATTAATTATACATAAATATAGGTTAGGGTTTGTTCTTGTTCAATTGTTTAGGGTAAGGGAAATTGGAAAAATATGGATTTATATAGGTAGGATAATTGTATAATTAGATGAAATATAGGGGTATTAGTGAAATATATATATAATTTTTAATTTTATATATTATATATGGGGCAGGGCGGGGGAAAGGCATCACCCACCCCCGTCCCATCCCCGAGGACGGGGATTAAAACACCTCCCACCCCCGCACCTATCCCCAAAAAAACCGAGGCTTCCCTGCCCCATATGGGAAGGGACGGGTCCCCGAAATCACAAGAAACATTACAATGCCTAATAACGAACGCATGTATAATTGACCAATTATAATGTATTTGAATGTCACCGTAATAATATGATATATTGTAATTAATCAAATGTACATAGGAGAAAATATTAATGTGAGATGTATCATGTTACCAAATTATGGTAAGTGCATATATTACTAATTAACATTATACATTATAATTGATGAATGTGTATGCGAGACGTTTACATGAAACGGTTTACCAACTTATGATACGTTACATGTATTAGCGCGATAATTAGTAATTGGATATAATAGAAAAGTAAAAATTAGGCCCAGTATATTATATGAATTTTAAAACATTATAACTCTTATAAAATTATATATAATCCTCTAAAAACTGATCCAACCACCATCTGTCAAGAGAAATTAAAAAAAAAAAAATCTTGTGCGTGTTTGGCTAACTATTTTTATCAGTATTTTAGACCGGATTTTTGAAATGCTGTTTGTTTTATTATTTGAAGAATTCTACCCTGATAAATAGATTCCTGACACTATCCTGACATTCTGACCGTTACAGTTTATTTTTTCTTTTTTTTTTTTCACTGCATCCTCACTGTTTGACCATTCACTTTCTCAGTATCACTGCCTCCTCACTACCAGCTTCGTGCTTCAGTTCTCAATTCACATAACCGTTTTCAGTGCTTCACTTTCTCAATATCCATCACCACCATTTCAGTTTCTGATAAATACATTACTGGTTCGTGCTTCACTTCCAGTTTGCATTACCACCATCTCCCTTTCTAGTTTCCAGTACCAGCACCGTGAACCCCCAATGCCCTCTGTCACAAACCCACATTCTAACCCAACGTGAACCACCGTCAACCCGAAAACCACCCACCCGAGCCTCCACGCACCACCACGACACGAGCTCTACCCCAACCCAGCCCACCCGAGCCACCACGCACCTGATCTACCCACACAAGCCCACCGAGCCACCACGACCCGAGATCTACCCAACCCAGCCCACCCGAGCTACCACGCACCACCAAGACCCCAACCCAGCCCACCCGAGCCACACGCAACCACCCCGAGCCACATGCACCCGATCTACCCCACACAAGCCCACCCAAGCCCCCACGCACCACCACGACCCCAACCCAGCCCACCCGAGCCACCACGCAGCCACCCCGAGCCACCCCACCCGATCTACCCACACAAGCACCCGAGCCACCACGACCCGAGATCTACCCCAACCCAGCACACCGATCCACCACGCACCACCACGACCCCACCCAGCCCACCCGAGCCACCACGCACAACCACGACCCCCACCCAGCCACCCGAGCCACACGAGCACCTCGAGCCACCACGCACCCGATCTCCCCACACAAGCCCACCCGAGCCACACGACCCGAGATCTACCCCAACCCAGCCCACCCGATCCACCACGCACCAACACGACCCCAACCCAGCCCACCTGAGCCACCACGCACCACCACGACCCCAACCCAGCCCACCCGAGCCACCACGACACACCCGAGCCACCACGATCTCCATCAAACCCACCCAATCTCCATCAAACCCACCTCATATCTGCGTAAAGACACCCACCGTCACTGCATTTTGACACTGATTTTTTTTCTTGAAATGAACATTCTTTGTTTTGTGGAAAATGTGTCCACTAATAAAACAAACCCAAACCCACCTTATAGATTAAAGCAATTGGGTTTTTCGGCTTTTTTTTTTATGTTTTATTGGGTTTTTTTCGGCCATTCTTGTTTTATTTGGGATTTTGTTTTAATCAGTTTTTATTTTATTAGCAATTGGCATATAATTGTTTTAATTGGGTTTTTTTTATTCGGCAATTGGCACAGAATGTTTAATTGGGTTTTTGTTTTGTTTGACAGCTTTTTAATCTCGTGTACACATGGATCCATTTAATTGTATTTGGATGTTTATCTGACTCGAGAAGGGAAAGAGACCCACGACGTATCAAATCAAGTTTGTAAGTTTCCGTTACCTATTTGTTTTCAAGACACCGAGCCGCATTTTTTTCAATTTTTTTTTGGAATAATGTGATTAGTACTGTTTTTTTCTTTTCATTAATCTTTTAATTTGGACTTTATAATGCGTTTTGTATTTGGTTAACTGAAATATTTATTCCGGTTTCATAATTGATTTATTTGTTCTTAGATTTGACATCGTTCTTTAATCGTACCCAGAAATTACGCTCATATGCATAGATGTCAGCATAATTTATCTCGACGTGCAGGATTGATTATTACTTGCAACAGAGGCGAAAGTTTCGACGTTTTTCCCGAGGGGAGTGTCATACAACTGTTGGTCGACAGTGTCTGTATCTTCCCCTGCATTGACGTTTCAAGCAGTGTCGGATCGAACGAGGTATACTTTTATATGTGTTTAGTTGATTATGTAACAGTCAGTATTATATTGTAATGTGCTTGGTGATTCGTATGGTGCCCCAGTGTTGGTGTCCTGACCGTACTGTCCTTAGATAGGTGATTCTGTGGCTTGGTCTGCTGAGATGACCCACAGATTTCTGGTCCTGTTATCTGAGCGGGCCAAAACTTCACATGGTACTGCAATAAAAACAGCTGATTACCAAGAAAGTTGGACGACATATCATCATTGGCTGGCAGGAGAATAACGTGAGCAATTAGCCTCTAAGTTCTTTCGCCTGCGAAAACTTTATCAAGCATGGCGAAAATTGCTGCAACACACAGGTTCGGGTGGGATCAGAAGTCACAAAGTCCAATGTGTCCCGTTGAGGTTTGGCAAGAATATGTCAAGGTAAATATATTTTTTAACTATTATTATTCAACGTCATTGTAAATATACGCATTTTT